GATCATCTTGATTGGCCCAGAACAGGCATTTGATAAAATTCAACATCTTTTCATGATAAAAACTCTTAGGAAACTAGGTATAGAAGGTACATACCTCAACATAATAAAGGTCATCTATGATAAACCCACAGCTAACGTCATATTGAATGGGGAAAAACTGAAAGCATTTCCTCTAAGAACTGGAACAAGACAGGGGTGCCTACTTTTACTGTTCTTATGCAACATGATATTGGAAGTCCTAGCCAGAGTAATTAGTCAAGAGAAAGAAATAAAAGGCACTCAAATAGGAAAAGAAGAAGACAAATCATCCCTCTTTGCAGATGACATGATCTTATATCTAGAGAAACCTAAAGTATGCCCCCAAAAAACTTCTAGATCTGATAGACAAATTCAGCAAAGTTGCAGGATACAAAATCAACATATAAAAATTAGTAGTGTTTCTATACACCAATAATGAACCAGTTGAAGAAGTCAAGAAAACAATCTCACTTATAATAGCTATAATAACATACCTAGGAATAAATTTAAACAAGGAGGTAAAAGACCTCTATAAGGAAAACTACAAAACACTGACAAAGAAATTAAAGAGGACACAAACAAATGGAAAGACATGCCATGTTTATGAATCAGAAGAATTAATATTGGTAAAATGACCAGACTACCCAAACAAACTATGGAGTCAATGCAATCCCTATCAAAATACCAATGACATTTGTCACAGAAATAGAAAAGAATCCTAAAATTTGCATGGAACCAAGAAAGAGTCTGAATAGCCAAAATAATCCTAAGCAAAAAGAGAAAAGCTGGATACATCACACTGTTTGACTTATACTGCAAAGTTATATTGCAAAGCTATAGTAACCAAAACAGCATGATAGATTTGAGAGAATGGGAAGGGTGTGTGTGAGATGGGGAGGCTGAGAAAGAAAGGTTGATGAATAGGTATAAACATACAGTTAGATAGAAGGAATAAGTTCTAAAATTTGATAGGTGAGTGTGACTATAGTTAACAAAAATATATTGTATATTTCAAAATAACTAGAAGAGAGGACTTGAAATGTTCCCAACACATCAAAATGACAAATGCTTGCGGTGATGGCTGCCCTAAAATACTCAGCCTTTATTATTACACATTCTATGCATGTAACAAAATATTATATGTACCCCATAAATATATACGAATATTACGTATAAATTTTTAAAACACCCCCCAAAAATCATTGAATTGTACACTTAAAGTAGATAAATTATATGGCATGTAACTTATGGCCTAACAAGGATATTAAAAACTGAAATAGTAAAGTGAACTCTTCCTCACATCTGTCTAGAAGTCATAAACATTGGCGACCATTCCACCCTTCTCTCACTAGGGAGACAGTGCTCTACCTGTTCAAGACTAATCTTATCACCATTTTTCCAGATTCTGTTTATTCCCAACTCCCCTTGTTTTCCCAAGTTCTCCACTAGCTACTTCTTTTTACTGTTAAGTTTCTTTAAACTGCTAAGTTTCTTTAAAGAATGATCTGTGATAGACATTGCCACTTACTCACTACTCAATCCACAGCCAGCCCCAGTCGGGCTTCCTTCCCCACCGCGACAATAAGCCTGCCATCATCAGTGACAGTCTCAATGCAACATCTAATAGACTCTTTTCAGCTCTTATTTAATAGATCCCTTCTTAACAATCTTTCCTTTTAGGTTCCTTGACACCAATCTCTTCGAGTGTTTTTCTGACTTCTCTGGATCCTGCTTCTCAAAACCATTTCTTAGATAAATCTCTCAGAACCTTACCTTAAATCTCTGTGGTACATTTCCTTGTTTTATTCTCTATTGATTTTACATACTACTCCTTTCTGAAGGCTTCATTTGCTACATTTGCCAATAATTCCAAAATTGGTAATCTTCAAGTAATTCTCTCTTCTGAGCTTCAGATCTGTATGTCAACTGAGCAGGCAGCTAACTCTAATTAGATATCTCACAAGCACCTCAAACACAAGTCCACAATTAAACTCCATATTCTTCCTCACAGATCTCTTTTTACCACGTTCCCTGATCCTTTCCAAAGAGTCGCCTAAGCAGAAACCTGGCAGCTATTCACCAGACCTTTCTCCTGCCCTATACCGGCCTGCTCACCTGTCCCTTACTGCCACTTTCAAATCCTAATTCTAGCTTCCTCTCCACCCCTCTGCTACTAGTATCAGTGCCTAAACTACTGTATAGTTCTAGCATGTTTTAAATAGATGTTTTAGATCCTTGTTTTAAAAACATGAATGAATGAATCATCATTCATTTAATCGAAAGAAAGGGAAGAAAAAAGAATTCAAAGCTCTAAGCAAATGTGTTATAATTTTGGCATATAAGGTCCCATCCCATGTATGCTTCAACAGTTATAGAACGCCTTGTTAGTACTTGTTAAAGAGAAAAAATATTTGGAAAATTTTTATATGTCTTCTTTATTAATACATGCTTTCATTGTTACACTTCCGTCTAATTCTGAGGGGAGCAGGAGGAACCTCCTGTTTCAGACTGTGATAATTAAAAATTCTCAGTAATCTGGAGATGGGCTGGGCTTAGGTCCACTTTTGCATTTATGCAAAAAGCATTGATTAATTACAGTGGGAATGACAAGACAGCTACTTGACAACACTTTGTTAGCCCATTAATTAACTTAACTTTATGTTCTTGAAAGTAATAAAATTACATTTCTTTTAAAAGGATTTATAATTAGTCTGAACCACACAATTTAACACTTAATTATATACTGTCTTCTATTGTTCTTGAATTCCTCCCTCTCTTCCTTTTTCTCTCTCTCCTTTCTTCCCCGACCCCATCTACTGCATGTGTGTACAGAGTGACTACACTGTGTATTGACTGTTATAGTCATTCTTGAACAATACAAGATGAATCAGAGGGCATCGACTCTGCCCTCAAGGAGCTTCCTGTGTGGGAAAATGAAATCGGTACATAAATGTAGGCATCAGTATATGGAGGAAAGTAATCAGTTACATACAGGAGCTAGAGATAAAACCTAAGGTGCTGTGAGAATTCACAAGAAAGGAACGATTACTTCCAAATCCATAGAGAACAGGGGTTAGGGATAAGGAAGGACACTCTTGGATACATGGGATGGGGAAAAGGCACTGCAGGCACGGGGATGAGCATGCACAGATACTGGGAAGCAGGGAATGCAGGGCATGCACAGAAACCACTTATGCTAGAAAGAACATAAGCTCTGGAATCAGAGGAACCTAGGTTGGAAATAGTCATTCTACCACTCGCTAGCTGTGTGACCTAGGCCATCTTATTTTCTGAATCTTACTTTTCTCAACTTTGAAATGTGTTTTAAAAGATCTAGGTCAGAGAATTGCTATGAGAATTAATTGGGATAATGGTTTTAAAGGTCAGGCACATGGTAGGTAATCAAACTGTAGATCACAAATGCAAATATCTTTTTGTTTCAAGAAAAAAAAATAACATGTTAGACATAAACACTTCTGCTGGAGAAACTATGTGGCAAGTGTTTAGCAGCCATTCATCCAGTCCAAGATGAGGCGCTGACTTCACTGACTCTTCTGGAGCCATCTGCTTTGCATGTCTTAACAGAGGTGTGTCATCCCTTTCATACCAGGCACTGCTAGCATTCAGATAATTTCAAAGAGAGGTCGATTTACCAAAATCCATTTATTTACACTTCAAGTTAAATGTTAGAAACAGTGTAACAAACAGTTGTCAAGAGTTCCCCATTTTTTTTTCAAATCATAGTATCATTAACAAATTAAGTTTTCACTAGAGGTGATTTTATTAAGCTCCTCAATCATGTATTTATGGAACAAATTTTACAAATTATACAACTCATGGCTACGAAGGATGTCGCTCATATAAGAAATGATCCCATGCTTGCTGGAGCTTATAATTAAACACATTTGCAAACAATCCAGTGCCAGAGAGTATACATTGTGACAATGACCACATAAGATCGATGAGATCTATATATGTATCAGGCAACTTCCTATCATAAGGTTAAGATGAAGGGTGCCTAATGACTTTTTACATAGATGGATGGATAGACAGACAGACAGACATAGATACACACAAACACAAACAACTGAGATCAAGAGTCTTGTTCAAGAGCTGGAAATATAACCTGACTCATCTGACACCAAATAAATGACACTTCCATCAGGGTATTCTTAAAAGAAATCGCAAATGGCTGTGTCTTGAGAGGACTGTACAATTTTGATACACAAAAACAAGGGATGGAAACATTTTCCAGGGAAATAGAAAGATACCAGAGAAGTCCCAAAACTGGGGATAAATTGAAAGAGCCCCTTCCAGGAAGGCTAGCAGAACCCTTCAGTTGCTATGAAGAGTTCACGTGAGAGTCCAAAGAAAGAAAAAACAGAAATGGGTCACTTAATAAAAGCCTCAAATACCAGGATAAGACAGGACTGGCCATTGGAGGGAAAATTCATTAAAATTTGCTCAAGGAGAAGATACCCACAATGAAGGAATTCTCCTAGCACAAAGAAGTATCCCAGAGTCCAGAGCAGACGGGAGTCTGGAGACTGAAAAGGAAGAGGTTGGGGGGTCAGCCGAGCAGTGAGGCGTAAGTTGGGGAGCACTGGGAAGCGCAGTCGGGGAGTCTGAAGAAAACTGACCATTGGGCGGTATGGGACATCCCTGTAACTTGATATCTGGGTCCTGAAATGGACGGTCTAACCCAGAGAAACGGAATCCTTATCCTTGTCTTCTTTGGTGTCTGAGTCACCGAGGTGAGCTAGAAGCTTGGGGCTACAGCACATTCGTTGAGTTTCAAGTGCTCCGTTTTGTGTGCTACATGTTTTATAGGAGGGAAAAGTCATTTCTGAAGTATCTTGATTCATATAGAGTATAAGTACAAAGCTAACATGAAGCAAAAGCTGATTAGGTATTATGTGAGCAGCCAGGGTGAAGATAAGCATTTGGATTTTCTAAAAGTTCCAGAATTTATCTGTACTGACCTCTGCAATCCAGTCACTGGCTTGAGAAATCAGCCCATCCATTTTCTTCACTGGTGCTGTGCAGAACTGGTACGAAATGTGCGTGGTCAGCTCAGTGACCTTCCACAGCCACCTGAGCCACACAGCAGTGAACTCGGAGAACAGGGTCAACCCTCTCTGCAGGCCGGGTTCCTTAAATATCAAGACACGTTCTCTATTCTCCACCTTCCTGTTCTTCTAAGACGTAGCATCAGGATCACCTTCTAACAAAATTGAAAAAGCAAGCCGTGCTGATGACAGATTTTTTTAATCACAAATGTAATAACCCGTCATGTCTCAGGAAGAAGAAAGGGGGCAACAGGGAGGCAATTTGGTCCAGGAGTTTAATACAAGCACATTTTTCCTCGGAAGGAGTGTCATAATGCCGCCTTCCAAGTATGGCGTGCAAAACAGAGCTCGGGAAAGCAATGCGTCAGACTCAAGGCTGCAAGGATGGCACTGGGGCTCCTGCTCGGTTCTCCAGCTGACACTCTCTCCCTTAGCCTCGATCTTGCTCTACGTCCGCACATGCGTATGCATCCGGCAGACTCGTCCACGGGATCTGCCGCGCCAGTGCCAAACTGCACCCCAGTTGAAAGACAGCCAGGGACACAATGAGGAGTAGGTCAGTGAAAGTGAGGGAAAATTGGGACACTTCCCTGGGTGGCAGGAATTAACTTGCAGGACTCTTGCGGGCGCACTTCAGGGGAGCACACTGTGTGTTTAAAAATGCTTTACAGACATTTTAACCAATTGTAGCTTTTCCTAACAAAAGACAGGGAGACTTCCACCAGAGGTAAAGCTTCCAGGCTGACGGGGAGGGGAGGGCTGGGCCATCAGCCAGCGGGGCGCAGAGCTCGGGCAGGACGCGCCCCCCACCGCGAGGGGCTGCGTCTGCCTGCCTTTCTTTCACTGCCTGGATTTCTGCCCTGGTGTCCTGCTGGTGAATTCACTCCAGTTATAAAACATTTTGTTACCTTCATTCACTCTTAATTAAAAAGGAAAAAGAAACTCCCAGAGCTCTGACAACAGGGGAAAAAAAGGAAAGAGAAAAAGAAGAGGGAAAGGAAAGAAAGGGAAAACGGGGAGAGCTCTTTGAGTTTTTGAAATCAAATGGTGAGAGACCCTGATGTGGCAAGGCAGAAATAATAAAAGAGAAAAACATGGAGTTGCTGAAATGGTTTTAATCTTTCAGATCAATGTGAACTCTATGAAACAGACATGTTTTCAGGGGGAAATGGGGAGCATTTGTAATGCTGGGGAGGAAAAGCAAAAGATTCACAGATAGAGGCTCAATAGCCCTCAGCACTGCGTCTGATTTCCATGCCCCATCCTCCTCGGCCTGCTGCATGCTTCGTCCCTCCCACAGATATCTCTAAAAGCCCCGTCATGGACTCGACACTATACCAGACCTCTAACATTTAGGATCTTAGGAAAAATAAATAACCAGTCAACAATATTGACAGTTTTAATTTCCTGAGTCCTATCTGAGGTCAGCTACAGTACTGGATACTTGACACGCACGGGCTCTCGAGCCCCACACCAGTCCTGCAAGGAGGGACTAAGATCTGCAGCATATGGATATAAAATGAGGCTCAGAAAGATTAAAATAATGATACTAAAATTTTTTTTAAAAAGCAAACCTTACCCAAAGAGATGCATCTGGTAAGTAGTAAGTGGCAAAGTTAGACTTTAACCTCCCATCTGTCTTGGACAGCAGGCCATGCTCTTTCCACTGTGTCATGCACATACAGCAGAGTCGTGGGCAGACTGGACACATCTAATCCCAGTTCCCTCTGTAAGCTCACTCGAGACATTCAGATGCGCTCTCCTGCCTTGCCTCCCTGGGGGCTGAGCAGAGGCCTGGCTGTGTCCTCCCCAGTTTCCTCATTCCGATACTAAGGTCTCATCTAAAATCTAAGCTTGACCAATTCAATGCTTTCTTTTCCACTCCCCATATTCCTTCCCTTCCTCAGCCTCTCTCATGTGAAATCTAATCCCATCCAGGGCTCTTCCCATGATCTACCTTGTACCTCCATGCTCAAGTCACGCAACTTTCTAGATGAGAATTCATCCTCGGTTGTCCCTCTCACCCTGCCCTCCATGACAAAGTCAAACTAGGTGTCTTGGCTAACCTAAGATTAAAATTCAGCTCTGTTGGACTCTATGTTTCATGTTAAGCATTATGATGTGCCCCAAATTCATAAAACCTGACACACAACATTTACAAAGCAAATGCAAATCAGGTGGATGATTATTCCTTCACAAAAGGATTCACCATAGACTTCCTTAAATAGTAAGCTTCTCTGATGCATTTATGATATGACTTGATTTTTCCCCCAGGGATATGTTCTTTGCATAAATAAAGAAAAGCAGACTGCAACAAAAGACAGCTACAGAAATATCTGCCGTTAGACCTCTTATTTGGGGCTGTTCATTGAGTCCTCATCTGTTGCCAGGCTGCAAATCACGTGCTGTTGTGCTTCGTGATGTTTAGCAGGAGTTAAGTCCTCCTGACTCTCCTAGCAACCCAGTACCCTGCTCTGAGGCCTGGCATCACGTTAACAGTCTTACCTGTGCTCACAGTGATTCTGGGGTGAATTATCACTCTCCCCTTATTACCACTTCCCCAAAGTACCCTGTGGAATGTCTGCCTTCAAATATATTAATAAAAGACCATTGAATAAAAGGCTTCAATTCCTGGTTATTTTTTACATTAGCATCAGACTTTGTAACAGAAAGGATAAGTTATGTTATATTAAACTAGCCAATAGCCTGATAATCTCAGTGGCTTTAAACAACAAAAGTCTATCTCTCACTCATAGATATCCATCGCAGGTGGGGAGGGCCTCTTTTCTCCACTCACTCAGGAATCCCAGTGGAGGAGTTACACAACCTGGAAAGTTATTGGTTGTCATGACAGGAAAGAATGGGCTCCAGGGGGCCTCACACTGGAAATGACATGCTTAGCCCATCACCAAGTGGCACACATCATTTCCTCTTGCCTCCCATTGGCCAGCACTAGTCACATGTGCCTCCCCCACAAAGGAGGAAGTACAATCCTACCATGGGAAGTGCTCAGGATGCAAAGAGCCCAAAATATTCAGTAAGTAGCACTGATTAATTGCCACAGGCCCACAGTGGGGCCCGAGACTATTCTGTGACCACAGAGGACAAGGAGCTTCAGATCTTGAGATTGTGGGGGACAAAGGCATCATGGGAATTCTGTATGACCTGGTCTATGTTAGTTCTTTGGAGGAAAGAGATTCCTAGTTGTATACCTGATGACACCAGCACCATAAGCCTTGTCCCCAAAGTAAATGACTGCATAGCTGTCCTGAATGATGAATAGGTGCCTGGTCACACCTGCTTTCTGGGACGCCTCCTCCAGGGCTGTCTTTAAGCGAGAGTCAGGTTTTGTGTGCTTTGCTCAGGTTTCCAGTCCTGCAGAGATGCTTTTGTCCTGTGATGTTCTTGCAGGAAAGCTTTTAATCTATTTCAAAGAGAGGCTGCCTTCTCATATTCTCTTAGCTCTTCTTGTTGTTCATTTTTTTCCTCTTTTTAGGTAGATTGAAACATTTTCTGCTTCCCAAATTTCTCCTCCCTCCACTAGCTTTTTCACAAGGAAGAGAGGAAAAGAAACATAAATAAATCAAACGGTCTCTGTTAAATCCACGGTCATCCCTCTCTCCCCTCGAGCTTTCTCGCCATATTGAGTCAAGAGATGCAGGTGCTGTGTCTCCCTGGGTGAAGTGTCTTATTTTCAAGCCATGGAAAGAATGCAAGGTAGATTTTTGTCAACTCCTACATATCCCTGAATGCTAACACCAGGCACTCTTATTAAAGGAGTTGTCAAGATGCATTAGCCAAATGGGATGAGGTTTCTGAAAGAAGGGAATGCCTAATCAGATGAGGGAAAGGGAAAGGGGCTGTTTTCTGACAAGATAATAATGCAGAGATGTCTCACTTACCTACATTAATGAGGGCACCGGGAGAACAGTAGTAATTGAAATACACGAATTTGGTTAAAATCTTTGTTTTTTTATTTCTTCTTTACTGTTGTATTAAGATGTTCTAAGAAAAAAGCAGCAGTTTCTTTAGGGAAACAAGAAGGATTTGAGTTACAAAGGTAGTCTGTAAATCTCTATGAGCTAATAATGTATGCCAAAGAATCTGCTGTGGATAGATGCAAGTGAAGCGGGAAGCAGAAGGCATGTGTCCTGAGCACCGCTTTCAGCTTTCGGAAAGAGAAAGGAAGGCAAAGGGATATGAAAACACTACCACACGGAGAGCATGCTGGATTATAGAATAGCGAAATGAAAAGAGGGAAAGGAAACGTCCTAGAATCTGCATCAAGAGTATTACACATGATTATCTCATTTAATACACACAACAAATTTATGGGATATTAATCATATATCCTTTCCTTCTAACATTCATTTACTCGTTCATTCATTAATTCATTCATTCCCAACCAATTAACTAGGTTACTATCATCTGCCTAGCACAGTGCAAGGAGCTGGTGACAAAGAGAAAACACACAGAGATTCTGCCATCAAGTTGCTTGCCATCTAGTAAGGAGACAGGTTAGAGGATAATGACCATAAATGAGAAGACTAAGATTCAGGGAGAATGCATCTTGCCTAAGGTTTTATAGATATTAATTGCCCAAGAGAAGATTTGTGCTCAGGTCTATATGACACCATCTAAACCCAAATGACCCAAATCTGGCCAGTTATGGGTGTCAGCTGATGGAATTCCATCTCAAGATGTGCAGAGTCAGAATCTCCAAGAATAGGGCCTGGAAACCTGTATTTATTTTTTTTTTAAAAAAAACTCCCTTGCTAGACCTAGTCTAATGCCCAGGTATGCCAATACTATTATTTGATAGGGTCACTCCCTGCCCCTTTTTCATCCCTCACTGATCTCCAGCCACCAGCTATAGCATTGCCACATCGGATGCCAAAGGATACTTCAGTCTGCTTCTCCCCAGCATCCTGCTGTCATTCTGGGTGGGAAGGTAAAGAAGTAGCAATTGTCATGGGTGGGTTTATACAAACATCACCCATTCTAAATGTGACTAAATGTGACTATTAAAATTGTCTACATTTCAAACCCAAAACATCTCTCCAGGCTGCCAATAATGTCATTATTTAAAAGTCCCCAGAGAGAGCAGTCCTTTTAATCTTACCATCCATAGCTACTTGAAAGCTGAGTCAACCCCCAACGTAGCCTGAACTTCATGTTCTGCAAATGACTGTGGTCCCACCACAGATACGCAGATGCTCCTTCTGCTAATAAAATGCACTTATGTTTCTGTGTGTGTGTGTGTGTGTGTGTGTGTGTGAAGCTTTTTTATGACCAAATTGTAAGATTTCTGCTAGCCTATCACAGAGAATTCTAATTAAGGAAAATCCGGTTTCCAAGCTGACCATAAAGAGGCACAAAGACATATGATATCAATGGTCAGGGGACAAAGTTAGCTGGACAGGGGAAGAGGGAGCTTCCAAAGTTGAACCACAGGAGGATGCATTTATGCAGAGATGTGGCCACCAGGAAGAAACAGAAGCTCAAAACCACGCACTATTTTTTTATCTATTAAATGAGACATATTTTGACAGATTTAATGAGATAAAAAGGAAGGAGAGGATTTGAAACAATTCAAAATGATATCCTTATTTTGAATATATATACACACACACATCCACACTTTCTTACTGAGAACAGCTCAGAAGAGTTGCAGTATAAACTGACAATTCAAGTCATCTTTTGCCACTCTCCTTACACCCCAAACAACCCCGCCCCCCCAACACACACATTCTCTTTCCTTTCGTCCCTCCCTCCCCTATAATTCCCCTTGGTGTAAACATTCTAAATTATTTATATCTAGATTGAAGGCATCCTTTAGCCTGACTGGGACTAGAGTAATCAAAATATAATTGTGCTATAGATATGCTAATACATTATGCTAATATTTGATTAAGGAGACTCTGAGACCTGAGAAATGAAGATAGGATGGCTCTGGGCCATCCAGGGGCTAAACGGTGTTCAAGGAAAAGGTTATATGAGAACCCTGAGCTTTCAGAGAATCTGTATGGCTGTGTGAGAAACAAATCTTAAACAAGAAACATCTCAGTGAAGCTGGTTCTGTAAGTGGCGGATCCAGGGGAAATGGCTATTTCTCTACATAGATTCCAAGAAAGCAATTAAGGTAGATTTTAGACCCTGTGAAAAGACTGCATTCAACCTGGGATATGGGCTTGATCTAGAGAGAAACCTACTAGGAAAGGGTTTGTTTTCTTGAGTGAACAGAATAGCTTAATGCAGGGCTTCTCAAAGTGTGGTCCCTGGGCTGGAAGCATCAGTTTCACCCTGGAACTTGTTAAAAATGCCAATGATGGGGCCCCACCCAAGACCCACTCAATCAAAAACTCTGGGGGTGGGGGCCCAGTGGCCCTCCAGGTGGTTCTGATACACACTGAAGTGAGAGCCACTTGCACAGAGAAGTAACTCTGGCTCAGAATGGGGTCAGTGTTAGGGCAAAGTAAGAAACAGAAACAGAATCGACTATAAAAGTCAATTACATGTACAACTGTGCAGGATGTTTTATTGTTTAGTAATACGTTATTCCTTCACCCCCAACTCTACTCTCACTCAGTACCTTCGTAATCCTACCTTCAAAGCCAGACACCAGCCCTTTGCTCAGGAACTTTGACAAAGTGGACAACAAAAGCTCCTCAAAGACAAAAACTTTCCCTGTCTTCTTTTTAAAAAGAAACAGTAATTTCTGTTATTAACAGGAAATAGTAATAATGGTAGCTAACATTGGTTAAGATCTTGCAATGTGAAAGCATTGTTCCAACTACTTTATATGTTTAAAACTCATTTAACCCTCAACTTTAGGAAATTGTTACTGTGTTTTTCCCCATTTTTCCAGATGAGTTCACTGAGGCACAGAGAATAGAAATTGCTCCTCTAAGATCAGAGAGCAAGGATAAGGCAGAGCTTGGATTCACACCCAGGCATTCTGAGGCCATAAAATGTAACAATAGATGGACTGAGATTCCTGGGAAGAGGGGTGATTCAGGAGAAACATGTCTATTTAGAGAAAAAAAGAAAAACAAAACAAAACATAAGTTTATGGATACTAATGGTAGGAAGTTATGCAAGCAATTGCCAAAAATCATCCCATTTGCGGGACAAACACTAAGGCACCATTTCATTCTTTTGCTTAGTATTTGCAAAGTATTGATTTTACTTTCTTACGCATTGCTCAAAAATCCTCTTCTTATCCTCTTCAACCAAAATTTTCCCTTCTGATATCCTCCTAATTCAGTTGCTTATCAGCAAACTCCCATTTCTGAATTTCCATTAAAATGCATGATATGCTACCATATCAATGTTCCAAATAACTGAACAGTTATTAAATTTGATAGCTTTTGTACAATTAAGCTGCCACAAACAGCCCATAAGAGAAGTCTGATCATACCATGTTACTTCCCTACTCAAAAACTTCAATGATTCCCTGTTGCCAATGGAGAAAAGTTCAGTACCCATAATCTGACATACGAAGACCCTCCACCATCTGCAGGCAGCCACCTCCAGTTCCAGCTGCCATGGGCACCCATTTCTGCAAGCCTAATGCATTCACTGTCATCTAATTACTCTTTGGGTCTTCCTGCCATTACGCTTTCATTCAAATCTTTCTACACATCCAGGCTTCATCTTTCCATAGTTTATCCACCCTTTGGGCCTAGTTTAAATTCACCTCCTCTCTGCAGCCTTCCTTGGCCCACCCATGTCCATGTAATTACTCTCTCCTCTACTTCCATAATCGTCCGTCCTTAATATCATTTGGCAATTATTCTTGTATGGTTTTATCATCTCACTTTACATTTTTGTCTGTGTATATGTATTGTGTGTGTGCCTGTGTGTATAGTGCATTACTACAAATCAGCATTTTTATATGTTTATGCGCTATCTCTGCAACAAAATTTCTGATCCTTAAAAAGCGGATACTAAGATACATCTTTACATCATATTTATGTCTCTTCCACACCTGGTATACTATTTTGTACACAGCAGACACTCAATAAGTATTTGTTAAACTGAAGGGACTGCAGTGCCCCACACCGATGTGGAAATATACAATGTACCTTTTTTCTCTAATGATCTAAAATCGATATTTTGTATCTTACAATACAAATACCCCTTAAAATCTCATCCTTGAATTCTTTTTCGGCCTCTTTTCTGCTTGAGACCTTTCCCATCTATTCTTCTTCAGCAGATGACTAGGAATGCCACAAACATGCCATCTGTTCTGTTTCTATAAATTTCCTAAGTTGCTTCCTCTACCTAAAATGCCCTTTGCTTATTCTTTCCTCTTGAGAAAATCCAGGTAAGATTAAACATCTCCAGAAAGTCTTTTCCTACCCCTACTTCTTCCTTACATATCAATGCATCTTCCACAACGTTTAGTAAATAATTGATTACACTTCCCCTGCCCTATTTGTTTTTGAATTCCAAGAGAACAGAAACTGTTTCTTATTTATCTCCGTGTCCCCAGGTACCAACAGAGTACCCAGCACAAAGCCTATGCTCTGTGTGTTGAATAAGTAAATAAATAAATGAATGATGAAATATAGACGAAAGACCAAAGCAGACTTTTATAAATTTGTGAAGGAGTCTGTCATTAGTCCAGTGGAGAATGAGATAAAATTATGCCATACAATGGGACACAGAGGCATGTTAATATGAAAAATGTACTTGTACACATTTACCCTGTGAATGCTTTGCACATTTAAGTCATATCCTTCATAATTCATTTGTGTGGCTGAAATCCCTGGGGGAAACGCTTACGGTAAATACATGGAAACAGCCTCCGCCAGGAGGAGAGCATGGGACTAAGGAAAGGAGGGGCGGCAGCACCACATTGGCGACGGGCGTCTGCAAAAAGACAAGGAGCTGATGACATGGAAATCCTCCGCTGGCCTAGGGTTTCCCCTAGGATTGACGAAGGAGTGTCAGACGTGTGCCTGTCTGTGGGAGGGGGCTGTTGGGCAGAGCTGTAGGCTCAGCACAGAAACCAGAGTCCTTGAGAAAGACACGGTAGGAAGGGGGGAAACGGCTGGGAGCGTGAGCAGTGGAGGGCCCGCTGCTCTTGCAGGTGGGCTGACGGCGCCACTGCTCACCCCTGCTCACCCCTGCACACCCACATACGATCCCAGAGCTGCCGTGGCTCGTGCTTCCCTGGATGCCTTAAGAGGGGTGCAGTGCATACCGGCTAGGGGAAGGACAGGCTTGAAGCTCTGACTTGGGCGGGGCAAAGGCAATACATGTAACCTAAACATTTGTACCCCCGTAGCATGCTGAAATAAAAAATAAAATAAAATGAAATAAAGAAGAGAGATTTCATGAAGCCAGGTAGAGGGGGGGGGAAAGGGAAAAAAAAAAGTCACGTTAGAAATCACCAATACACAGAAAGGGGAGGAGGAGGGGAGGAAGGACGAAATCAAGCGTGAAAAAGCAAAAGGGAAATATAGCCAGAGATGTATAAAGCCTGTCAAATCTCTCCAAACTGTAACAAAAGCATGGGAGAGATAGTTTCTCTTTAATGAATGCTTTGATCAGCCACAGTTGATATAATAATTATATAAAACTAGAGCAAGACAGAAATAAGATGTGTTTTTCTCTCACGTAGCCTGTAACCTTTGTGATTGGTTCATTTATTTAAGAAAAGAACAAGGCCCTTCAAAACAGAGGCATATGTCAGCAGAGAACCTGTTTTCTCCCCTGACTTATGCAGGAAATTTGCAGCGAAGTCTGCATCCCTTCTCCTCCCTGCGCTGGAAGGGCTGATCTGCCAGCCATGACTCTGAAAGTGAACTAATGGTGGTGGAATTTTCCTCACATGTATCTTGGTCTTATTTCTCAGGCTAACGCTGCCCCTGAATCCACAGCCTGACAGTACTGACTTTCATTCCTTCCTATCCCAAGCTTTTCTCCCAACTCCAGGTGGCTCTCCCACCAAGCTACATTAGCTGGACACTTCCCAAGTAATACGATACCTCGTGCTGCTGGAGATAGTGATTTGGCTAATCTCCAGAAAGGGAGGAGTGAGAACCATTTTTTTCAGAATGATACTCCCATGAGCACATGCTTTTTTAGTAACAGCAGGGGAGAAAGGTGGTTGCCATGGGAACAGAGGCAAACACAAACAGGAGTAGCATATCTCAGGGACTCCTTGCTCCTGCACCCGCAGTGCCTCTCCTGAAGGCTTTCTTCACCTGAAAAGGAAGACAGTCCAAAAGGCTCAAGGGTTAGTCCCTTTCTTATGAACTTCCAAATTACAGATGAGGCATTCAATGGGTCCACAGGCTGTCAGCGTGGTCATCCAGCTGGGACTGACTGATTCAGGGTCTGGAGAGAGGGGAGGAAAAACAATGTCTGCTTCTCCAATTAGTGTCTTGGGGATTCTCTCGACTGGTGATACACTTGAGCCACAAGCTCCTAAAAAGTTGATGATGGCACAAAACACAGCAGTTTCCTGTAACACCCACAGTGGTTTGGTTCTCTACCAAGCAAAGCCAGTGAGAAACTGGGATGGGCATGGGTCCAGGGAATGA